AACAGTGGAAACATGCACTAATGAAGTTCCACTGTGTCTCCATCAAAGAGACTCCAAAGTTGCTCAATGTCAAACGCCGATGTGGCCCCCTTCTCTGTTACTGTAGTTTCTGGATCCAACACATCTGTCTCTTGGCTCTCCTGTAGCAAACTCTCCCACCACATATTCTCTCCACCCATCAGATTATTCACTAGCTCATCTTTTTCCTCATCTTTGTTACATGTGATACTATTTTCAAAAACATTATTGTTGTTGAGTTCATGGCATGGAGGAATAACCTCAACTTGTGACAGGCCTTTGAGACGGCTGCAGCTATTGTGACTGTTGAAGGATCGAGGTCGAGGCTTTAAAACATCAATTTTTTGGGCCGGAGTGGTAGGAGTGCAAGTAATGTTTCTCTTTTTCTTCCAGGTTTTACAACATGGCTCATGCTTCTTACTCAAATGGGTGTTCCAGTAATTCTTGACATCATTAGCTGTCCGACCAGGCAATCTACCAGCTATCAAGGACCACCTAATCATTGTTCAACAATATGCATCTGAGTTATTAGTATCAATATTCTTATATCCATAGATATTCGCGAGGAAACAATACCTATTTCCTAGAAGTTTATGAAGGCGGAGAAGAAGATCAACTTCATCAGAGCTAAGTCTTCCTCTCTTGATACTTGGCTTCAAATAGTTCAACCATCTTAATCTACAACTCTTCCTGCACCGATTTAGCCCTACAAAACCAATAATTGCCTTTAATTATCATGAAGAATCTATGCACACCAATGGAAATACTGTACTATTCACACGTAAAGAAGACAAACCAATAAAAAAACATAAACGACAAGTCTTGATAAAGAAATTTTCACTGAGTTCATTTACTAAAAGACAAACCAATAAAGATATTTAAAGACTACAGAAGTTGGAATTTTTGTTCTTTTTTTCAAGAAGAAGCTAGCAATAAATAACTAAATCAGAATAATATACTATGTATCATTAGTTTTAAATAAATTTCTTCGTCGAAGTCCAACAAAAATTATGAACTGCATAAAAAATTATTCATGAACAGCCTTAATCAGAAAGCATGAAACTATGATTTGTGCACCCGCGTGCTCTTTTTTATTGCTAACTATTTGGACTTCATTAGAATGAGAAGGTTTGTAAAATATTACAAAAAGTTAAAACAAATAGGAAAATCCTTGCCTAATGATTTGTGCCCTAGCGTGTTAATCAATATGCTGTATATTATTGAAAACAGAAAAAGAAAAATATTCGTATGATTTAGTTTAATTACATGTATGTGTAAATAACTTACCAGCTCTTAAAGGTACTTGGTGCCATTTGCCTTCTCCAAACGTATCAATACATTTCCTCAAGAGACTATCTTCTTCAGCAGTCCATGCACCTTTCCTTAAACCTTTGGACGGACCTTCCATGGATGAAAACAATTATTAAAATTATTTAAATTTCTTACAAGTAAAGAGTCTAGGAAGATGGAATATGTTGCGGGTTCACAAATACTAGGAGGACTTATAGAAAGTGTGACGGTGTGAGCCATTATATATATACACGTGAAGGGCATAAGTAAGTGACGTGCATGTTTCATATCCACTTATCATAATTTAGCTGTCGTGCTTAATTTGCTAAGTTAGTTTGTTCTGCTATACTGATTTGGACTAGAGAAAAGGTTCATAGCACCTTGCTAGTCTCTTCAACTTTATTCAGTACTTTAAGAGACAAAACATGTTTCTTAACAAATTAGGGGAAAGGTTTGTGACAAAAAAAAAGACAAATTAGGGGAAAGGACGATTAATGATTGGTAACCGATGATTTATACGATTACCAGAGGGGCTAGTTTCATGCACAAGGAATAGAAAAGTATAATGAAATAAGGTGGATGCATGAATAACAATTAAGGCTATTTGTCTTGTTTGTATATTACTAATTTCTTTCATTTTTATAAGGCTA